TTGTTCTAAATAGGTAATAGTATTGTTAATGGATCAATGTTAAATGGTAAACAAATGATTGCTACATTAAATGTTCTTGGTCTTGATTATGCAACATTAGGTAATCATGAATTTGATTTAAAACAAGAATCATTACGACGTCGTTTAAATGAATCACGATTTCAATGGATAGCATCAAATGTTTATGAACGTAATACAACAAAACCATTTCATAATGTTTTACCATATAAAATTTTAACAATATCAAATGTTAATATTCTTCTTATTGGTTTAACAATAGATGATAATTTTGGACCATTATCAAGTGGACAATATGTTAGTATAACATCACAACAAACATTACCAGTATTTACTGAACAATATATAAAACATCTTCGTAATGATTTACATCTAAAATGGGATATACTTATTTGTTTAACACATCTTAATATACAAAATGATATTGATATAATTGAACATAATCCAAGTATTCATGTACTTCTGGGTGGACATGAACATGAAAATTATTATTTAAAACGTGGATCAAACTATGCACCTATATATAAAGCTGATGGTAATGCACTTTCAGTATTTATTCATCGTTTTGCATATCAACCTAAAACAAAACAATTATTAATATTTTCTCGACTTACACAAGTATCAGAACATTTTCCTGATGAACCAAAAACAGCTGAAATAGCAAATTATTTCTATGAAGCTGGCTTACAAGCATATCGAGAGCAAGGTAATTTTTAAAAAAAAATCCTATTGTATATTTAATTAAATCTATTTATATTTTAGGTTTTTCACCTGGTCGTATAGTATGTACTTTACCACCTGGGTTTACCTTTGACGGTCGTTCAGCAATAATACGTTCTCAACAATCACATTTAACACGTGCATTATGTAACGCTATGATGGATGCAACTAATACAGCAATATGTGTACTTAATTCAGGTGCTATTCGTATTGATGATCAACTAACGGGTACAATAACACAATATGATATATTACGTTGTTTACCATTTGCAGCAAGTCTTATAACAATACGTATTAATGGTTCAAATCTTGTTAAAATATTAGATCGGGGTTTAATGAATATAAATACTGGTATGTATATATCTTATTCTGGTTTAGAATATGATGCAATAACAACAAAATGGTATCTACAATCTAATCGACAATTAGTTGATGATGAAAATTTACAATTAACTATTGTTTCAATACCTTATTTTTTTCATCATACAGATTTAAAACATTCAGCAACAATTTTAAATACGCATACAACAATAACAAGAGCTTTTATTGAGTATCTTGAACGAACATATCAAAAATTGAATCATGGTCAATTACCTTCATAGATCTATCTATATATATATATATATATGTATTTATACTGGAAAAAATTAATGTTATCTGATATATTTTTTTCTTACTAGTCAATATAAACAATTCTGTTTGTATGAATAAATAAATAAATTTCACAAAAAAAAATATTAGATTTGTTTGTTTGCTTTGAAAATATAAAATTAGTTTTCTGTCATATTTTATTCATTGTATTTTAATAAAATCAAATCTAAAATAATATTGTTTAATAGATATGAGAGGAAATTTTCCTTCGATAAATTTCAATTTTCAAAATAAATATTTCAATAATTGAAAAATAGAAAACAATGATTTACATTATTAAAAATACCAAAAAGAAAATAAACTTTCCAAATGTAATATAAACATCACATACTACTAATTATTTCGAAGGTTGACATTCTCAAATACATTGCCCACATTCATATATTTACACTGTGATTGATTTAAGATATGGATGTCGGTGTGGGTGTAAGATTTCTCCACTTCTATATACACCAAGATTGAAGAACTGACACCATCGACTTAATGTAAATATTATCATCATCAATCGATGAATTAAAGAAAGATGATGCATTCAATATGGCTACGATGAAACAACTTGATGACAATATGCAGCAGTCTCCATGATATAAAAAAATTATTTTTCGAAGCCAACAAATTTTTGATTTAATAAAAAGATTGTTTGCCATTAAATGGATATTTTAATAAGATTAGTAAAAAAAATGACCTCAGTATTTTGTTGCAATTATCTTATAAACTATTAAATTCGAGCTGAAACTTTTTTTTCGTTTTGAAAAATTTTGCACCATTGATTTTTGGTAGATTTTACGAAAAAAAATTCGAGTAAAAACAACATGTTTTCTTCATCTTTTAATTCGAATGGAGGGAGATAAAAAAAAAGAAAAAGTAGGCAGTCTAAACAGTGTCCAGTACCTGTAACAAAAAGAAGTCCAACCCTATTGGACGTATTGTGGCTGAGACAGCAGGAAGATTTTCAACCTTTACGAGCCAGATATTTCTCAGAAGAAAGTATTTTGAAATTCAAAGTCTATCACAAGTTTTGCTCTATTCATCGAGATTTATCTATCTTGATAGTTTCAAATAATTCTGATGAATAGTTCTTCGGAAGCCTTGAAAAGCGATGGAATTTCCTTAACAATATGATTAAAATTAATATATATGTAGAATATCATGAATATCTTATTAAGCGTTTCTAATAATTTTTATTAAGTTATTCCTTACATTTGAATGAATTCTCAAAAAAAAAAAAAAAACTTTTGATTTCAAATTTTCAACCTATATCTTCAAATTTTATTAAATATAAATAACTAACAGAATAAATATATAAATATTCTCTTGAATAAATACAATACAAAATTATTTACAAATCCAATTAGACAAAAAAAAAACAAATCAATTTTTTTTCATAGCCAATTCAATTTCACGCATACGTCGATTAGCTTTTATTTCAGCTTTAATTGGACAATATTTCATTGTATGTGCTTGATCACCTGATAAATGACAACGTGGACATTTATGAGCACGAAGAATTGGACATAATGTTATCATTTTTTCATTATCACGAAGACGATGTGATGAATAAATATCATATGATTCACCATTTGCTTTACAAAATCCACATTCAAGATATTCACCCAATTGTTCACGACGCCAACGAGCTTTTGCAATTAATGATGATAAATCAAATGAAGCTGAACGAACTGGTAATGGAACCGATGAACGATTATCAGAATTTGATAATGATGATGTTGGAGATGATGAAATCTAAAGACATAGAAAATAACTATTAAAAAAAAAATATATACGATTTTAAAAACTTACAATTGATGATACAGGACTTGGAGCAATAATTAAAGGTATATCTGACATAAATGGTGATTGAAACTAAACATTTATATATATTTCAAATATGATTAAAAAAAAAAGTAAAAATATATTCATGACTTACTAAATTTGGAGAAGTAGAAAATAAAGGAGATGATGAACAACAATTACAGAATGATTGCATAGATGATGATGATAATGTAGGAAACTAGAAAACAAAAAAAAAAAAAAAGAATTGAAAACGAACTATTAAAAAAATTAATAACATACTAATGGAAGAAATGTTGAACTGTTGAAATTCATCATAGTAAGAAAAAAAACGAAAGAAAATCAATAGAAAATAAAATTCTGTTATGATATAGTAAACATTCTCTCAAAGTCAACATATATATATATATGTTTTTCTATTCTAAATAGTTTACAAGTTCTGTTACAAGCAAAGAAGCGGTATCAAATAGGAATACACTAATTAATACAAACACACATATTCTTTTATTCGTGATTAACACAAAAGAACAAAAAATAATGTTCAATGATATACACATCAAAAGAAACGTACATAACACATTTCATTCTCGTTAATAAAATCTATTTAGTCTTTATTTATGAAATAATATTTATTTAATTTAAAATCAAATTTTATTTTTTTTTTTAGCTAATTCATATGTTAATAAAATGTATTAATCAAATAATTCATGTGTGTATTGTTTATCGAGATTTATTATAAACTAGTAAGGGAGGGCTGATTCTCTCCTATCCCAAAATCCTAGTTTCAAGACTATTATAAACTGTACCTTCATAATAGAAGACCTCGAGATTTTTATCATATCTCAGCGTATAAATTTTTCAAGAAACAAAAATGATTCTTTAGGATTCTAAAGCTCAAGAGTAATGTTGACACCAGTTTTGGAATCATTTTTAATTGGTAAGAATTCGTCTCTAATTAATTTTTAAAAATATATTTATAAAATATTTCATTAATTGAATATGTATGCGCGATTTACTCTTCATTGATTATTTGGAAGAAGATAAATGAATAATCGTTACCATAATCAATTTATTGTCAGAACAAAAGGTCGACATCCTTGAATAAATTTTCTACATCCAAACATTTACAGTGTGATTGATTTACTGGAAAAAGACCAATCGTTAGCATTGATTGCAAGAATATGAGATGACATAAGGGGTTCCAATTTCAGAATGTCGAAAAAATAAAATCATAACGGATGAATGTTTAATGATGAAATTGTATCAATTTTATGATGAAGGTCGTATTGATATTTCAGCGTTCTTGAAAGCTGCTGGATTGAGATCTTTTTAACATTTGTCAAAAAGTTATGCAACTGTTTCTCTCTTTATCTTGTGTTATTTCTTCATATATTTATTGGAATTTTTCTTTTATTCTGACGACACATTAATTGTTGCAATAACTACTGATTAGCTCATTTCTTTTCTTTCACATAATTAACGAAAAGTAAATCGTATAAACCAATTGAATGATTATCCGATATTTTATTGAAATAAATATCAGCAATAGCGTATATAGAAGAACATAGCATGAAAAAAAAAAGATTACTTAATAGTATGCGTTATTTTTACACATTATACACACTTCATAGTAAGTTTCATATCAAGTAAGATTACCACTGCATAATCTTTTTAGATGAAATTCAAGCATTGAAGGGTGTGGTGATTAGTAGGTTGATAGATCTTCTATACAAACTACATCTATTATATATTGAAAGAATAATTAAGCAGATCATTGAATATTAATTACAATTAGTTAAAGTCAAATTTAAAGGAATTTTTTAATTTGATAAAGTATTTCGACGTAAAAATGATCGTTGTGAATTTCGAAATCCATTATCAAAGAAACCAAGAATAAGTGTACCAAATATACAAACTATAAAAAATCCTCCAACCAAACAACCAAATAAAATTAAGAAAACAATCGCTGGATCTAAGTTTGTTGCTTGATTACGTCCTCTTATTCGTCCATAGTGAACATCTGCATAAGTTCTTACATACCCATCATTTACTATTAATCAAAAAAAAAAAATAGTTCTTTTGTTTTTTTTTTCTTTTCTCATCAATTAACTCACCTTTAATTAAAATTAGTATACTATCAATAAAAAACAACAATTGGACGAACATGAAAAGATTTTTTGATTGATTAAGAAAAAAAAAAATAAAAATTTTTCTCACATGCAACACTTGCTATTAGATATATAAAACGTGTCATATTAGCAAATAAAAGTATACGTGATATTTTTCTATTATAATTTCTATCTTTGACTAAAATGGCAATTATTATGCCATGTTTTAGAGAAAAAAAAAGTATTCAATCTATTAAAAAGAAACATACTCAAAACAAATTCTAAATCAATTATTCCAAGATATTGGAAATTTGAAGTTTGAGTAAAATTATTTTTTTTTTTTTTTTCTATATTTTCATTTAATAACAAAAAAAAAAAAGATATCTATAGCGACAAGAAAATTTATTTTCATTCCTAATTCATTTTATACAAATTATTTTCTTGTATCTTCATTATGCCTTGTCGATCTCAAAAAGTTTTATGTAATAAAAAAAAATCAAATTCATCTAACACAGGAACAGATCAATTAATACCATTGAATATGAATGCATGTAATCAAACACAATGTATGTTTTTTATTTTAATATAAGTTTACTATTAATTTTTTTTTTGTTTCTAAATAGCTAATATAATTTCTCATTTGGAATCAATTGGTAATTTAATAATTAATGAATTAACAGGGTCAGAACGTAATCGTTTAAAACAACAATTACTTATATCTTGTATTTCAAATACAAATCCAATTCATAATTTACCATTTTCTTCATCAAAAACAAATTTAAAACAAGTATTAACTGATTTACATACATATGATTGTCATACGCAACGACAATATCGTACAATTGGTATAGGTGATAATGATATAAATATAAGTACATCAAAAACAAATGTTAATCAATTAGATATAACAACAACACAAAATAATAATACAAATATATTAAATAATGAAATTCAATTATCAACAATAACAAAACGTAAAAAACGACAAATTAATCATTTAAATTTATTACAAATAAATGAACCAAAGAATAATACATCGAATATAATAACACGAACTATATGCACAAGAAGTTCAAAATTGAATAGTTTAAATAACAATCAAGAACAATCGAATTCTGGTTAGTTGAAAATAGAATTTTAATGACAATAATAGTAATCTATGGCCTTTATTATTCATTCAAAAAGTCAATGGACTTTGTTATATCAAAAATAACTCAAGTATAAAAGTTACTAGCGAAAACCGCAGATCGCTAGCAACTTTTATGCTTGAGTTTTTTGTGATACAATAAAATCTATTGACTTTTTGAATAAATAATAGTTATTCTTCATCGAACACGTAAACGTCGATTATCTTTGATAAATCCATCAACTCCAAGCAATAATAATGTAGTAGATAATACAATAGAAGAATCTCATTTAGATTTACAAAAAAATATCGGTATTTAAATTGTTAATTAGATTTTCTTAATTATTCATACTTGATTTTTATTATTAGGAAATGATGTATCTGGTATAAAAGTATCTCGTAAAAAACTTCAATCATCTGTTCCATTGTTAACATCAATCGAATATTCAAAAACTATAAACGATTTTTAATTTAATATTTTAACAATTTTTGTTTTTGCTGAAAATACTTTAGTTTAGTAAATAAATAAATGGCGCCATAAGAAATAAATATAAATGGCGCGTTTTGTTAACAACAATCTATCTTTAGTATAAAATAATCGATTTCTTTGTTTTTTTTGAATTCATTTTCTGTGTCCAAGTCTTTTTGTTTTTATTATTACGATCGTTTCATTATAAATAATATATATTTATATATTATTTTTGTTGTGTATTCATATTTTAACCAACGTCAATGTCGTACGATATGACAACTGGCACTGCAAAATTTGAACGAATGACAAAAGAAGAAAAATTACGTTTTTGTCAAGATCTTATTAAACAAGCTGCTAATTTAACTAAATCACCAGATTTAAGTGGTGTTCGTTCAACAGGAAGTAAATCTAGTAGTAGTGGTGTACGTTCAACAAGTAAATCAAGTAAACGACCAGCTTCAATTAGTGGTACTCTATCGAAAAAAACTAAAAGTGGAACATTAAGTCATGATGAAAAATCAAAATTGCATAGTAAATCAACTATAGCTAAACAATCAGCATCAAAATCTATGGTCAAATCATCTACAGTACGTAATGTGTGTGATTTCATTTTTTTTTGCTTATTAAATTTATATATTTATCTAGCCATCAAAATCGAAGACAAATTTTCGTCATTCTTCTTCAGTTCGGGTTAGTGTTTTTCTTTTTTTATTTGCTATATATTGTTTATACTGATTTTTCTTTAGTCGGGAGATAATAAATCGAAAGCAAATAGTAACATATCTTCTATACGTACAGGTGGTGGTATTCAATCAAGTATGAAAGCAGGTAATAATGATTTCAAATTTTCTATTGAAGAAATTCTTTTTTCTTGTGTTTCGGTGTTAAACATAAAACAAAATCAAAATTGAAAACTGCAAAATCTGGCACAGTAAAACGATCAACATCAAAATCAGTATGTCTATATCAGAGTCGTAACCGAGTCAGTTAGAAGAGATTTTATAGATATACCATTCTTCTCTTATAAAATTTCTTGAGAGTAAGTTCGGTTACTCTTGTGTCAAAATAATCAAACAGTGTTGTTTCAAAAACTATTTGTTCACACTGTTTTATATCTTTAATTGAAGTGTATTTCTAGTTTTTTAAAAAACACAATCGAAATTGTATTAATGGAGCTAAACTTATATCATTTGTATTTTTGATAAAGATCAAATTGAAGTTCGGATCGTTGTTCGAAGAGAAACGTTAGATTTTTCTATGAAAAGACTGACGAGGGAATTACCTGAATTGATCTTCGTCGTTTGAACTTGTATTGTGTTCACAAAGAGGTCTCGATAAGACTAGAAAAATACTAAAAGAATTCGTGCTTATAGATCTCTGGAACCGATTTATGACTATCTTACAAGTTTCACTCGAAAAGAATGTTTCTTTATTGAGATATTGAATTTCCAAAAAAATGATCATTCATCGCAAAGATTGAGTTTAATTGAAAATTCATTATCTCGACACAAGAACATTCTTTTCAGCTGAAACTTTCACAGAATATTCTACTAGTCATTCGACTTATTTATGAGCGAAATTTCAGGACGAAATAGTGTTGAAAATTTAGTAAAACTGTCATAACTCGTTTCTAGAGATCCATGAACAATTCATTCGTGAATGAGAAAATTTAAGATTTAGAATTTAGTATTCAGTTGATGAGTAAGTTACTCTTTTTTTTTTCGCGCTATATATTGAAATATCACATAAGGAAAATGAATATTTTTTGAAGCTATTCCTATAAACCGATTAGTAATGATTCAACAAATTGACCGATCATCTACTAGACCGAACTATGTCAAAAATTCTCGACCGATTACAACTCTGGTTTATTTATTAAATCAATCAAATGTTAATTTTTTTTTGTTTTATTATATTTTTCTTAGTCAATGCGTAGTAATAAATCAAAGAGTAAACCACAACATCCATCTAAAGCGGCTTCACATTCATCAGTAAAAGTTGATGGTACAAGTGCTGTTCGTTCGGCTTCAAATACAAGTGGTTTGCATTTGTTAACTTGCCAGATTGAATTAAATTATTCGATAATAATTATAGGTAAAAAAACAAGTGTAAAAAGTTCAACATCAAAAGCTGGATCCAAGACTGATTTGGGAGTAAGTTTTTTTTGTTATTAAAAAAGAAAAAGCATTTTTATATAAATTCATCATAGGATTCATCATCTATCGCTGTCACACCAACTAGTATTATTTATTTTTAAATTTTACGAATAGATAGTTTTTTTATTTACTGTTAGGTGCCCATACAAAATCAGGAACTATATCGAAATCAACAGCACATAGCCAAAGTCGACCAGCTGGTGGTACTTCAAGCATTCGTTCTACTGGTAAGATTTCCATATAAGCATTTACATTAAATCTTAGAATAATAATTTTAGTTGCTTCAAAATCAGATAAGAAAACGAATGGAACTCAAAAGGCAAAATCAAGCACTAAGAAAAAGGTTCAATTTTCTAATCTACAAAAATAAGAATATTTTTTCATTTTATAGACAACAACTAAATCTGTTCGTTCACCATTAAAATCCTCACCAATGAGTACCAAGACTGATAGTAAAATTAGTGTAAAGAATAAAACTAAATCAAGTACAAAAACAACTGGAAAACACCGATCAAAACATTCACGTATACCAATAAAAGATTATACTGAAACATGTGCTGTACAATTTGTACCAAAATTTAATGCGAATTCAACAAAAAATCAAGTACCAATTTATCATCTTATTCGTCATGCATTTGGTAATATGGTACGTGAAGCTATATGTCAATTAGATAAAGAAAAATCCGGTGTTAGTTCTCAACAAATTATTGATCATATACTTAAACATTATTCATTTCCAAATAATATATCTCAAAGTGCTATACGTAATCGTACAATATTTACAATTAATGCTGGTTTACGTGCTGGTACACTTCTTACAGTTAGTCCAAATAAAGGTGTTCGAATTGGTCGTATGCGTCGTATTTATCCACGTATGCTTTGCTAAAAGAATAAAAAAAAGAATGAAAAAAGAAAAACTTTCCATTGTTTGTCTTTTCCTTTTGTATTTATGACGAGAATATTATTCTATTGAAATAAAAGAAAACAAAAAAAAAAAAGTGATGAAAACTTTTTTCTTTAGCTATTGTTCTTTTTTTTTTTGCTTCTTTTTTTATTCATTTATCAAATGTCGTCTGTGCATGTTAAATACTTTGAAATAGACTGATGCATTTTGATTTTTCATGTTGCAGACAATAGCAGCTACTTGAGAACATGTCATTTTGACAGTCAGTAGTTTCAATTTTTTTTTATAGATGAAGGACATATTTTACTTTTTAGCTTGTTAAAATTTAATATACGAATAAGAATTTGTTCATACAACGTTGAATAATTGGTAATGTATGATGTGATATGACATGTTTATGAATGTAGAAAATCCACCGTTCTCTCTCGCTCTCTCTCTCTGTCTCTTTGCCAAAGGAATATGAACAATAAGAAATTCAATCATGATAT